ACAGGACAACAACAATTTTAGTTAAATGGTCATACAAATGATGTTAGATCTATTTGCTTTTCTTTTAATGGTTCTACCCTAGCATCTGGTAGTGATGATACAACTATTCGTTAATGGAATGTTTATACAGGCCAACAAACATTTTAATTAAATGGTCATACAAATATTGTGAGGTCAGTTTCCTTTTCTCATGATGGTACTATATTAGCATCTGGTAGTGAAGATAAAACTATTCTTTTATGGGATGTTCATACAGGTCAACAAAAATTTTAATTAAATGGTCATACAAGTTTAATTAATTCAGTTTCCTTTTCTCCTGATAGTACTACATTAGCATCTTGCAGTAATGACTAAACTATTCGTTTATGGGATGTTAACACAGGAGAACAAAAATCTAAATTAAATGGTCATACAAGTTATGTTTTTTCAGTATAGTTTTCCCCTGATGGCACTACATTAGCATCTGGTAGTCAGGATAAAACTATTCTTTTATGGGATGTTAAAACAGGACAACAATAATCTTAATTAAATGGTCATGCAGGTTTTGTCTACTCAGTATGTTTTTCGCCTGATAATAAAACTCTATTATCAGGTAGTACAGATCACTCAATTCGTATGTGGCATTTAATCAATGAATTATAAATCGATAATACTGATTAAATTTGCATTGATCTTCAAGCTAAATTTAAATTACCTATTGAAAAGAATTAATTTTTATAGAATTAGGGTATTATTTTCAAATTATTAACCAATCCGATTACAATTCTTGTTATCTCTTAAATACCTACATTCTTAGCAAACGGAGCCTTAATTGGAAACTCAGAATTTACAAATCATGTTGGCCTTGATTTAAGATTGTTTTTGGAATAAAAGGGGGGCTTTATTTTGGAAAAAAAATTCTGATTAGTTTGAAATCCTTTATAATTATCTAATAAAAAGATTTCTTTATTATAATTCTCCCTATTAAATAAAGTTAGGGATTGAAATCATATTTGAATAAAACAGATCAAAATTTATTTTGCTTGATGCTGTTCTCCTCATTTTTTTTAGGTAATTACTCTTTTTACCTAAGTATTCTTCAATCACTACTCTAATTTTCTATATTTCTTAAACTATGTCAAATTTAATCAAGAAATCTCTATTTTAATGCATATTGCTAAATACGATTGTCAAAAATTACTTCCTGATTATATAGGTATATTATTAATAGTCAAATATATTTTCAAAATATCAGGCAAAATAAAAAAATTTTATATTTATCTATAAATAAGTCTTTTTTGTTTCAATTTTCACCTAAGAGTTTTAGAATAATTATGAAACTTAAGAGTTAATGATAAATCTTTTTCGTTATTGAATCCAAACTACACAAATAAGCTTCAATTATAATAAATACTCTAATTATTGAAAAGTTTTTTCAACTCTTAATCTCTGAAAATTAAGAATAAATGACCTGGTCCTCATGAATTATTTTTGATTTCATGAAATTCTAATGATTCACTGTTAATTTAAATTCATCAGCTAAAACAGCACTTGACAATCCTATTTATTTTGACCTTGGGTAATATGTTAATTTAACTAATCTAAAAGTAAATTTTTCATATTTCATACTCAAAATCAAAGGGACATAGATATGAGATGAAATTTTAGAATACTTGTTTTATTTTGCATCGATTGCTAAGATTACTTATTAAAATAATTTATTTTTCTTTGTGATATTATATCAACCAGAATTATTTCAAAAATGAATAATTATTTATAAAATTATTTTATTTTTAAGCAATCATTGATTATATTTTTAAACTACTTCTAGATTATTGAATAAGCCAAATAAGAATGCGATTACAGATTCATTTGTGAAATTTAAGATCTAGATATTGCTCTATCTCTGGATTTTGTTGTTGTTAAGATGATTACTCTATCAAATTTTTTTGCATGATTATGACTTCAGTTTACAAATTTTCCAACAAAATCATAAGATTTCTCTTTTATAAAATCATGATATTAACTTATGTCGATTTAGATTAGATTTCATCCACATAATCATACATTAATTGATTAAAAGAAAATGATTAATGTTGATTTATTGTTTGTGAGAAATAGTCAATCTTAAATGAATTCAAAGTTTCCTTTATTTGTATGAAAGAACAAATCATTGAGAGCAAATTATATTTTTTTGCAACCAAAACTAATATTTCGTTGGAACATAATCACTAAACCTCTAACCTTTTTTAATAAATAAGAACTTTTGGTTTTTCTTTTGAGAATCCTATTACTGTCTATTGATATCTAAAAGACATTCTGCAGAGGCATAAAAAATAGAAGAATTAGATTTATATAAATAAACAGATTATTAATTTGATCTAGATGATTGTGTAGGAGTATAAAGTGATTTGGGAATATTAATCAATTTAGATGTCTATATTAATTTTGAAAATCATTAAAATAGCTAGATATTTATATTATTCTTTTCCATTTTGAACGATTCAGATTTTTGCTAGAATTACCTATAAATTGCTTTTTATTACTTATATTTCAATACATAGTAAACCATAACTGCAAACTGTTATTTAGATCTTNATGTCGATTTAGATTAGATTTCATCCACATAATCATACATTAATTGATTAAAAGAAAATGATTAATGTTGATTTATTGTTTGTGAGAAATAGTCAATCTTAAATGAATTCAAAGTTTCCTTTATTTGTATGAAAGAACAAATCATTGAGAGCAAATTATATTTTTTTGCAACCAAAACTAATATTTCGTTGGAACATAATCACTAAACCTCTAACCTTTTTTAATAAATAAGAACTTTTGGTTTTTCTTTTGAGAATCCTATTACTGTCTATTGATATCTAAAAGACATTCTGCAGAGGCATAAAAATAGAAGAATTAGATTTATATAAATAAACAGATTATTAATTTGATCTAGATGATTGTGTAGGAGTATAAAGTGATTTGGGAATATTAATCAATTTAGATGTCTATATTAATTTTGAAAATCATTAAAATAGCTAGATATTTATATTATTCTTTTCCATAATTTTGAACGATTCAGATTTTGCTAGAATTACATATAAATTGCTTTTTATTACTTATATTTTCAATACATAGATTGACGCTAATTGAAGTTAATAGAATTTTCAAACAAAATGCTTGCTTAAAAAAGGGAAAATTTTCTTATTAAATTCTTATAGGTGTGTTTCTCATTGTTGGAAAATATTAATCCTCTAGAATAAAATCAAAGCATTTTATCCAAATTTATTCACTTTTCAAACAAAAAGCGTTATAATTAAACATTAACGACCGCCAAGAGGTATTTTAAGAAATAATTTAATTAAAGGATTACAACCTCAAAATTAAATCTAAAGAAATACAAAGTATTTTTAATTCAATTTCAGTTATAAACTTGAGTACTTCTTTCAATAAGGCTAAGAACTATTAACTAAAACATTACTATAGACTAGTTAAGTGGTAGGCGATACAATCAGTATGCATAACTCTAAAATACCATCATGCCAAATATTTTTCTCACTTTATTTAATATCTGACAGTTATCATTCAAAAATCCAAATCGATTTTCAATTTTTATCAAATAAATTTAAAGCATATTCTATTGGATTGAATTCTCCTACTTCTTTTTCTAGTTAAATGTTAATTTATAAGTGCCTTAATGTAAAAAAATAATTGATAACATATCAGGATATAATTAACTGAATGGGATCTAGAGGATATTTAAAAAAAAAAAATATCTCTGGTATTATCTAAAGTGCAACCAACCATTATGTGAAAATACTACAAGGTAATCTCTTCCTAACTTTAGGTAGTGTTGCAAAAGAGTGTATGCTATTGAAAAAAAACCAAGTAAAAATTCAGTTAGCGAAAAATATTTAAGATAAATTTATTACCCTTGTGATGAATCCCATTTTCGATAGGAAATTATTTTTAAATATAAATAGAATAGATGGCAAACTCCCATCAAATCCTTCTAAGAGTTTCTTTTCTCAACGAATCCGGCTGTATGAAGTATTTTTTAAAAATTAAACACAGAGACTAAATTTCTATAGTATCTCCTACCTTAAACTCTGGTAATTTAAAATCTTCAAAAACAAGCTTAAAAGCAAGCCGTTGTTTTGAAAATATAAATTTATTTGTTTAGACATAGATAACTGGATAAGGTTAGTTTTTGGTAGTGCAACTAAATCAACAATAGAGAGGATAATTAAAAGAATAATTGAACGTTAATTAATTTGGAACTGTACGATTATGAAAACACATTCTGATCAGTCAAAAATTGATTTAAAAAACAAAATTTATACTAAAACTAAAAAGATCAGGGGTTTCGTAATTAGATTAGGGCATAGATTTTACTTCAATTCAACATCCTCCTCTGGGCATCTCGGCTGGACCCAGTCTCTGGGAGGGACTTCATTTTTAAACCTTCTCTCTATATTTTGACTTATAAATGATAGAAGAAGTTAATTAAAATCGTATTTTATAACCTCCTGTATAATGAAAAAAACTTCTTATCATAAGCTGACATTATTGACAACTCTCTAAAATCTTGCGACCTTAAAATAACCTTGTTTGATAACAAAATGATAATTTAATCATAAAAAATTTTAAAAAACTAGAACTAGGTAACAAACAGAAAAGTCTATCTAGAGAATCCTAGATAAATTAAAAGCAAAATAAAAAAATGTACTAAAAGAAAGTATGAAACTAATGAAGCCTTAATTTGTACAAGTAAGAAGAAAGATTATAAGAATCAAACAAAAGGAGAGGAAAGAAAAAAACTAAAAGATCTCAATACATATAGATAATCATCTTGTAATTCAATCTCCCCTTAAACTATCATAGCTGACATATAATTTACACAAAGATATTTAAATAGTTTGATAAATTAACTAAATTATATAACAAAAATGTGAAGAATTTCGGTGTTGAATTCAATAGTCATAATGAACAAGCATTAACTTAAAAATGGGGTCAAAATTTTTCTCGTTGTTCAGGAAAGATTAAGGATTGGAAATATCAATTAACTTAAAAATAAGTTACAAGTTAAGAAGGAAAAAGCCAAAAAGCACTTCATTGATTTACTAGAGAATTAGACCCTCTCTTAGGATTGGGGCATTTAGTTTATAAAGAACAGAAAATATGAAATCGAATTGATTGGTTTCAAATGCACACTGAGTAAAAATCAGAATCAAGTCTAGAAAAGATTTAATAACAGATGAAACAAAATATTTACATGCCAATCTACCTTTTCATCAAACGATATAGAACCAAAAATAAGAAAAACATCCAAAAAATTAATAGCGAATATTTACTACTTCAGAACAAAAACCGCGAGGAAAGATATTACTGTAGAAAAAATTAATTGAATACATAACTAGAGAGTAATACAATTAATACTTGTGACATAACGCAAACTAAAAATAAGCTCTCTTCCTAATTAATAAAGTATATAAAATATATCGAAAATCTTCAAGACAGTTAATTTAAATCAAATAGAAAAAGAATAAAAAAGAGGAAAAGAAATCAGCAGGAGGTGATATTGAAAAAGAGTAATCTAATAATTAAATATTTGACCCTGAAAGAGATGCTTAACAAAAATCAATTTAATAAATAACTTTATTTTTAATTCAAATCTCTACAGGTTCTATAATAATAGAGAAAATTTATAGTAGGATAGTTACTTGCTATCTTAAAATTATTGAATTTTACTTTGGATAAAATCTTGGCTAAATTTCAGCTAAAGATACTAATATAATCAGTTGGGTTCTACATCATTAAGTTTGATTTTTGTGAACCACATACTACCATTCAATATCTTGCAGAGTTAAATATTTTTAAATTAAATACCCCATCTATTTCTAATCTTGAACTATCCCAAAAAAAATGTCACTAAAAACCTGAATAACTCTTAATTTATTTAAAGGAATGTCACAAGTTGCAAAGCATGTTGCTCATCGCTAATTTAGAAATGTTAGTTCTGGAAAAGGTGTGAATAAGATTTAGACGAAATGAGGTTGATTTTAGATAAATAATGAAAGATGCTTAGAGGATCTTATTTAAACATGTTTGTCGGAATCAGGTTTCTGTAATGATATACAAATTTTCAATTTAAAACCATAATAAAAGTTAAAATGTCAACTGAAACTAAAATTTTTAATAATCCTTTCAATCAACTAATTGCTTTTAAATTTATTCACAATACCCTCAGAAAGGTTGTCCAAATTAAGGACAACAATAAATAATATTTTAATTTATGAGACTCACCGCTACAAACTTGAATCAAAAAGACTGGAGTAAGAATACTTTTGTATTATATTTGCCATTCTTACTCCGAAAAGCCCTATAATTACTTTATTTCTTGACTGATGAACATAAAAAAGTCACATCTGACTAGCTTTAAATGCAGAGATTTGCTTCCATAATATCAGTTTGATGTTTTATTTCATGCACGGACTATAGAAGCTTATTTGTGTCTTTAATTTTAGATTACTTCCAAATAGAATAATCAATGCTGGGACATATCATAATGTCTCAATCTTTATTTGTAT